ATACTACAAAAAGAGAGGGACCAAATTATGATGAACTAAAAAGAATATAGTATATATTTTATTATAGTAAAGGGACTAAATACATAATAATACCATTTTTTATTAGGAATTTAGATGATTATGAGATAGTAATACATGTTATGTAGCCCTTAAATTGGGGGCACGTCATTCCTTACGAAGGTCCACAATGAGATAGATGTGTTTTGGGAGGGTCCATGGATGAGACACGTGGGTGTCCTTTCTTCTCATTGGAGCCCACACAATAAATAAAATATCAATTGCCCATCAGATAATCAATTACTTCAACTAATATCATATTATTATCAGATTTCTGTTCAAAGAGGTAGTAAATAAAATAAATAAAAGGTGACAATTTGTCCTTGAAAAGGAAATTATTCCTACTTTAAGAACTATACTTAGAACAAAAATTATGGGATAATTGTTATCCAGTTATTCGAAAATTTGTTTTTAAGTATTTATAAGTCAAGTTGAATTGATTTTGAATCAGATTTGTATATAAAATTATTTAAAGACGCTTATAAGTTGAATCGAATTGAATTTAAATTAGAATTGTTTATGGACATAATATTTTTATGTTAGGGGTATAAACTTATAAAATTTTGAAAAAGGACGAACTTATAAAATTTTAAAAAAACGATAATAATTTTTTAATAAAAAATATATTAAAAAACTAAAATATATTATAATTTAAAATTTTTAAGATGCGATTTTGCGTTCATCTCTAACTAGAATCGTATATAATATCAAAATCATATATTTGTCAAAGTTCAACTCGTTACAAATATAATTCTCAAGTTTTATCATATTTACTTATGTTTATAAATAGGGTAAACTATATATTAAAACTAAATTTAAATTAAAATTTTTAAGGTCGTTTTGCGTTCATCTCTAACTAGAATCGTATATAATATCAAAATCATATATTTGTCAAAGTTCAACTCGTTACAAATATAATTCTCAAGTTTTATCATATTTTACTTATGTTTATAAATAAGGGTAAACTATGCGAATAGTCCCTTTTGTTTAGGGTCTGATCAACTTTGGTCATCAATTTAAAAATTAAGGGTAAATGATCCCTCACATTAACGGTCCGTCTGATTTAAAATGGAACGGATCGATAACCTTAGGGACTAAAATCGAACGGATCGATAATGTTAAGAATAATTTCCCCTTAATTTTTAAATCGGTGACTAAAGTTGTTCAGATCAAAAATATAGGGACTATTCTCATAATTTACCCTATAAATAATTAATTCAAACTCATATTCTATATAAATTTATTTTTTATCTAAATCTTCTCGTATACCAAAGGAAGCTTCGAGTTTGGATAAACAAGCAGCCTTGCCGAGATCTAACATGTAATTTTTTCTGAGTAAAATCTTTTAAAAAATAATTTTTATTGAAAAATAAATACATTAATAGAAATTTTAATAAATAATAAAAAATATTAGAAATTAATTATGATTAATAATTAGTAGGGGTTTTAAAACAAATGGAAAATAAGGTTTTTAATCTCAAATCAGCTTTCAAGTCTGACGTGTAGTTACTTAGATGGCTTTTATTTTATTTTTTATATATCAAGCCAGACTTTCATTACCGGATTAACAGGAGTTAACGGTCGAGAGATTAAAATCGAATGGATCGATAATATAAAGACGAAAATTAATCTTTTTTCGAAATGGTAACCAAAATCAAATATATAAAAAATATAAGGGGTCATCGGTATAGTTTACCCTTTTAAAAATAACTAAAAATGTTAATTATTAAACATTTTAATAAATGAAATCTTCTGAGTCAGTGTTATGAATTTATACCACATAGTCAAATCTTACAATTTACACATCAACAATAAATAATCATCTATTGGTAGTCCAACACGTGTCCAACTTAATCCTAAACGATATCTGTTAACTGGTTTTGTGCTACGTAAGGAAAATTCCACCGTTTGCCCTATTTAGCCCCCCACAGTCTTCCCGTTTTACTTTAACGTCCCTAAAGAACAATAAAACCAACAGTCATTAATTGTGAACCAACATCACCTTTTCCAATTGGCATAATGCCAAAAAAGCCCCCAATGTTTACACAAATGATCATTTTGACTTTTATTTTATTTTTTAGCATTTTAATCCTAACGTTTCATTTTGAGATAAAAGACTCTTTACGTAGATAGAAATCATTAGTCAACTCATGATTAACGTTTTGAGATGATGTGACAGTCTTACATGGCATTGTATGATGATGCAGTAATACCACATTTCATCAAAAAAATGTTTTTCCACGTCAATAAAAAATATTTTTTCCTAAAATTAAGTTTATATATTTTTATTTAATCATTTTCATCCAATGATATGATAACATGTGTAACTAAATAGCATGTGCAATTAGATAATTATATTTAAATATTTTAGTTCAAATCATAATCAACAGGTTTAGTTGTAATTAAATAGCATGTGCAATTAGATAATTATATTTAAATAACGTATTAAAATGATTAATAAAAATAAATTTATTAATTAAATACTAATTTAATGAATAAAGTTGCTTAAAATTTTAAAACCATTTAAAATAAAGGTAAAGTACATAATTGGTCCTCCGACTATAGGTGTTACTTTGTTGAGTCCCTTTACCACTAAAAGCTATCAAATGATCCTTCAACTATAGGGTATTGCTTTGTTGAGTCCTCCGACTATTAAAAGTTAAAAAATGGTCACTCGACTATTCATATGTTTCAAAATCGTTTTTTTTTATTAAAACATTGGCAGTCGTCTGAGATGGACATTAAATCGTTGACTAAAATACGATAAAATCTTATCCTATAATCGTTTTAGTTGTACTTTGTGGATCGAATATTCATTTATATTATGTCGTTGAGCTAATGTTTGAAATATTATGCTGACAAGCTAATGTTTGTAAGAAACGACAGTGCCATTAGATATCATTAAAATATAATTTTATCATATCTCAGTCAGTAGGTTAACGTCCAGCTCAAACGAGCGTTAATTTTTAATAAAAAAGAAAATTTTGGAACATATGAATAGTAGAGTGACCATTTTGTAACTTTTAATAGTCGGAGATTTAAAGATCCTTTTATAAATTTTAATAGAAGGGACTCAAAAAGGTAATGTACTATAATCGGCGGACCATTTGTCTATTTACCCATTAAAAACCCACTCGCATTTAAAAGGACTAAGAGGTCATAAATTGTCCATTTTTACTTAAAGAGGATGAAATGACAAATATGCCGTCTCCTCTTGTTGTCAGAATTTGTACAGTGTTTCGTCAGACCCAGGAAAAGATAATCTACCAAACCTTCCCACGCGGCCATCATGAATCAGTTTCAAAACCCCCGTATCACGAGGCGGGGTTAAATTCATGATTTGGTCCTTAATTATATCCATTTAACAATAAACTACCTGCTTAGTTATCTACATATTGCTTTGTTTCTATTTTAGTCCCCTAACTATATTTTTTAAATCATATCTAACACGACGTTTTTATTTTATTCATTATCTCTATTTTCATCAGTATTTTTTTAATTATTTTTCTTACCAATAACATGATGATACATATCACCACCTTTAGAGAATAAAGGTACTAACTTTGCAAATATTACCTATGATATTCGACCATATGATCTCTTAGGTACAAATCAAAGACTTAATTACTAGACTTCTTATGATCTTCATGGATGCTTCTTTGTGCATCTCGTTGAGCCTTTCCACCTTTGCCACGACGGAGGGTGAGTTATTAGCGCCTGATGCTCCTCAATCTTCATGCTTTTAGGTATGTAGGGCCTGAGCTAAGAAGTTCATGGGAGAGATTTTGGTAAAAGGAATCGACAATGTCATTAACGATATTCCCTTTCGTCTTTCTATTCACGTCTTACGCTTCTATGGTTTTTGCTAATATAGTGGCCAAAGAAGCCAGCTCCATTTGGATAGGATTTTGGAGAAAGAGAGAAGGAAGGATAGTTGTTTTCGTTTTCTTTACTGATTTTGTAAGTCAAAAAGTTTGTTAACGCTCACCTCACTAATTGTTGATGACAATAAGATCATCTCATTGATCGTTGACAATTTACTCATTTTGATTTGGACATAGAATCGCGAACAGTGATAGGGTGATCATTGGTCGATGCTTGGATGAAGAAGGGAATGTGTCATCATGAGAAAGAAGAAGATTCAATAAGTGTCGATCGTAGTCATAAGCAATTCATCACCCTCTCCTACCTTGATTGGTGGTCTTTAGTTTGTCTTAGTTGTAGAATCATTATAGTTATTTGAAAGTTGACAGACTATACATATTTGATCATCAGTCCTTAAATTTTGCTTTAACAGAACACATGAGTCTATTAGAGATATTGTCCAAAAGTCTTGTCTATGTGCTTGTGACTAGTTTCGAGGTTTCTTTCCAGACGAGTCATGTCATTTGGATGTTTTGATAATTAGAGGTGTTTGCCTATAATTCTTAGTTACATAAAGCTAGTAATTTTTGGAGATCATTCTTCGAAGATATAACAAATTTGTTTCTATACATAATATATAAAATGAATATACCATTTTTTGTGTTTTTATTAATGAAATTTTTATTTTTTAAAATGATCATTCAATATTAAGTAGAATGGGAAAATAAGTACTAAAATGAAAAATAAATTTAATTCAGGAGTCGAATTATGAATTAAACCCAAGTTAATCAACAGACCCATGGGCCTCTAGTACCTAAACCGGCACCCGTCGCCACGCTTCTTTACGTGGCATCGTGTAAAACTATCACTAAGAAAGGAACCGGGTTTACGGGTTAACACACCCCAAATTCAACGGATTCAATCTTTCGCCACGTAGGATTTCAAAGTTCGTCATCCACGTCAGCAGCCCAAACCCTCTACTCCTTATAAGTTATAAATGGCCCGGACAACAGCTCCCATGACACTCTCTCCTCATTTCCATCTTCAAGCTTATTGCATCGTGTTTTAGCTTTTACCTTTATTCTCGCTCTCTTCGCCGGAAAGTAATTTCCGGCAAGAAAAAGATGGAGGCGCTAGCTGTTCTTGATCTTCTCGTAAATTCCTATGGCAATTTCATTATGTCATCGTCCCGTTGCGTGATTCGGGAACTTTAACCGTATCTGAAAAAAGGATAAAAAAAATGAAGCAAAGCGACTCTACTTAGCTGAGTTCTGAAGTTATTCCATGCATTGCCTGGCAAATTAGATGCAAATACTACTGTTTTATAATCAACGTTAAGAGTTTTATGTCTTGATTAAATTAAACCGCATTATTTGTTAGTTTTTGGCTAAGATATGAATTTCCGTGTCAATTGCGTATACTGATCTAATCGTGAAGCGAAGAATCAACAAGATTTTGAAGAGTGGCCGTGGTAACAGTGGTTAAGAAACATGCCTTTTCCGATGAAGATTCAACCGATCGATTCCAACAAGCTAGAAGAGGTGGCGCCGCCGCTGTCGGAGACGGTGAAGCAGCCGGCGGTGAAATCGAGGTTCAAGCGGCTGTTTGAGCGGCCGTTCCCTAGCGTTCTGAGAAATTCCTCGACGGAAAAGATCGGTGCCGTTTCCGCCGTCACCGATGAGCTTCCTTTTAGCAAAGAATGCGCTACTGAGTTCGAGCCGAGCTCCGTTTGCTTGGCGAAGATGGTTCAGAACTTCATAGAAGAAAACAACGAGAAACAACAATCTTCTATGGTTAGGTGTAGCCGTAACCGCTGTAACTGCTTCAGCAGTCGTAGCTGCAGCGACAGTTCCGATGACGAAATGGACAGTTTCTTTGGTGACTCAAATCTTCCTTCTTCCGCTGAAGCATCTGAAATCCTAAAGGTACAACAAAAATTTCCGCCTTCCTTCTCTTCGAATTTCTTTTTACCTTAAAATTATAGTAGTGTTTTTTTAATGTGATTTTGTTCTTTTCTGGAACAGAGTTTGGTTTCTCCTATGAGTGTGAATGAAAATAATTTACTGGCGGATACAGCGAAGATCATGGAGAAGAACAAGAACTGTAAGAGCAAAGACGATTTTTGCAGGAAAATTGTTACCGATGGATTATTGACCCTTGGATACAATGCTTCTATCTGCAGATCTTGGTGGGAAAAATCTCCCTCTTTTCCGGCCGGTACTTTCTTTCTCCCTCGGTGTTCAATAGTTAACTATCCGATTTCTATTTTGTTTTTTGTTTTCAAATTTCAACACTTCTTCGTTTTGATAAGCAGGAGAGTATGAGTACATAGATGTGATAATGGAGGGGGAAAGATTGTTGATCGACATCGATTTCAGATCAGAATTCGAACTCGTCCGATCAACGAAGTCTTACAATTCAACCCTCCAAATGCTTCCTTCCATCTTCGTTGGCAAAGCTGATGATCGTCTCCAGAAGATAATTGCTATTGTTTCCGAGGCGGTAAAACAATGCCTGAAGAAGAAAGGAATGCACACTCCTCCATGGCGAAAAGCCGAGTATATCAAGGCCAAATGGCTTTCTCATTATACCCGAATCACACCTTCACCTACACCAATACCTATAACGGGAAATCTCAAAGAATTTGAGTTTGATTCCACAGATCCTGAGAATAAAAACACAGATGAAGATGGTGAGTTGGGGGAACCCATATTTTCTTTGTCTGAGAGTTCCGAGGAAGGAAAGGAAGAAAATGTGAAGAAAGAAGAATGGAAGCCACCTGAGATAAATCCCACGAGCTCAAAGATAAGGGTCAAGATCGTGACTGGTTTTGCTTCAGCCATTGAAGATGAAATGAAACAATAAAATTTTGACTTCCTATTTTGTTTTTGTTTTTTTACCATTTTGGGTTATTGGAAAAAAAATCAAAATACATTATGGATTATTACTGAACGTTTTGAAGAATCCCCTTCAGTTTTTATGCAAGGGTTGATCTGATTTTTTATAATATGAATAACATTGTTATAGAAATAGTTAAGAAGAAACCATTTTCGATTATTCTTGTTGGGCTTTTTTCTCTTAAATTTGATCTTCTGCAGGATTCTTAGAGTTTGTGGAATCAAGCACAGAGAAAAGGTGATTCCTCCCTCATCTCTTCTATTTTTGTTTTATACTCCACAAATTATCAATCTCTGATCTTTAGTTACTGCTCTTATTCTTAAAAGACTAAATTTTATATAGCTGGATTGTGCAGTCTCGAGCTTTGTGAGGTTAGTCCCAACTCTTAGCTATTTTTTAATTGCTTCTTCAACTGATTATGTGCCTGTATAGCATCTTTTATTGGACTACTTTATTAGTGGCATCAAATAATATTGTGATTATTTGTCCTGTTATATGATTTCTATGCTCCTAAACGCATTGATTGAATTAGCACTTTATCGATGAATAATTATGGTTTGATAATTGGACCAAGTCCACTTCCTAATTACGTTTGCTTCACAAGATGGATATGTGAACCAAAGGGTCAATTATGGCTTTCTTGGTTAGTGTCAAGATAACGCGTTGAAGTTTGAGAACCAATGTGATATGTAAGTTGTAATCAAAAGGGATATGGTTATAGTTCTTTTTATAGCATCACCGATAAATCGGTGGATTCATTAATCGATTCATTCAATTATGAATGACATTTTCTGATTTTTCATGCAAGTAGCTGTTGGCATTTCTGTAAGTTCCGACTTTAATATGTCGCCGGATGCCCATATGAAGGAAATGCTTGTGGGACTGAAAACAACATAATCTTCCGTTGAAACATGAATGAATTTTACTAGTATGCAGAATGATAGATTTAAAAATATTTTTGAGAGAGAACATATATCTTTTAATAATAAAATTTTTCGTATGAGGATAAGTATAATAAAATTTCAGGTTGGATATAATCAGTAAAATGAATAACTAACATAGATAAATCCAGGTTTTAAGGTGGACATGTGTTTAGGGATAATAATTTTACCCAAAACCAACATGTTTTGATCTTAATCTAATTTGATAGGGTTTGAGGTTTTTTTTATTAAAAAAATCGAATTCAAGTTAGGTTCAGGTCATCTTTTATATAGCATTAGGTCGGGTTGAATTTGGGTGGAGGGTAAAAACCCTCAACCCAATATGGGATAATAGAGTAGTTTTTCATATAAATTTTTGAATAATTACAATAATATTAGAGTAGTTTTTCATATAAATTTTTGAATAATTACAATAATATTTTTTATAGTTTTTTAAATTAAGTCCTTAATTTATGTTAGGTCGGATTGAATCGAGTCAATTTTATAGTTAAAAAAAATCGGGTTAGAACAAATTCGATGGAAAATATACATTTTTTTAATCGGGTTGAGTTGGCAAAAAACTTGACCCAAATCGACCCATTACCACCTTTATATGTCTCCACCTTGAAATCCACTTGCATCCGCCACTGTCTCCACCAAACACCCTGGGTCTATCCCCACCCCGCGTGGATATTAGAAGGGAAATCTGGAGCTGCTTTGAGAACAAGCCTGTTTCAACTTATGGATAATACCAGAATCAGTGGACCTAAATTCAGAGTGGGGATAGTGGGGGAGCTTTTGTTTGAGAAAAAGGAAAGTATTTTACTTGCAAGACGGGCAAAAACTGAAAGACAAAACAAAACAAAAAATGAAAGCGGTTCCGATTTCTCCGATTTGTAAAACCTTCCTTACTGCCTGCACAAAACATATGTGGACTTATTTTAAATTACAAACTTAATAAAATGGTTGGGAAAAATCACAAAAAATATATAAAAAAAAGTTAATTGTCTTGAATACCCTCAACTAATGGTTTAAATTTTATATTATTTTTTAGAGTTTAAAATGTTCTAATTGAGATGTTAATATTGTATTAAACTGTCTCCATAATCAAAATTTAATTAAAAATATTGTACTGATTAATCAAAATTTAATCAGGAATAAGAATTAAATTAAAAGATTAAACAGTAAAACAATCATCAAATATTCAATTATAACTCAAATTGTTAACTAACTCAGTTATGAGGATTTTATGGCAATTCAATTCATCAAAAGGAACAAAATTATCAAAATTTTTAAAACTTATAGGGAAGTATTTTACTCATCTTTTGAGTATTGAAATTTAGAGTAAAGTTCCAAAATCTCTAAATTTAAAAAATTTAGTATATTGAAATTCAAATTTAATTATCTTAAACCCAAGAAACTCATAAAAGCATACTAATCACCAAACAACAGTTCATAGGAATATATTTTAACATAAATATGCACCCGACATCAATTAAGGCCCTAACAAGCAAAGCACAAATAAAATATTATACATATCTTTATTCATCATACATGTCAAAATTCTACTTAAATCAACATCTAAATTCATTTTATGGATTTACCTATCATAGTCATTAAGCATTATATATTAAGTACTTATTCATCAATCTAACTGTGCATTATCACATACATTACCCAATTAACTACCTTTAAACATGCTAAGTTAGAATGTATACATAGAGACTATTACAACTTTCAAGATTTCACAATAATCACTTACGACTAACATGTAAAAACACATCATATCACGACAACCACAACACTGACATAATAAAACATACCCAAGGATAACATGCTAATTATATATACATATCAACAGGGTCGACTCTGGGTATTTTTTGGCCCGGGGTGAAATAAAAGAAATGGGCTCCTAATTATGCAAAATCTTATAGTTATAAATTAATAGGCACTACGGAAAATATTATGGGCCCCCGACGGGCGCCCCACTTGCCCTGGCCCTGCATATCAACCACATCATACTCCACCATATTAGAGAGCAGGTTGTTAACGTGAGGTTGTTGAGAGCAGTTGGTTAGTTAGCGTTTGTTGCAGGTGTAATCTGTTGTAGGTTGTTAGGGTTTATGTTGTATAAAAGGATATGAACTGCTCAGTGATAATACACAGTTCTTTTTTCCTTATTCTATCCTTTATCTCCTTCTACTAAATATCCAATATGGTATCAATCGCCAAAAATCCTAGTGGTTTTTCTACTGCCTGAGTTCTTGGGTGTCTCATTCATCTTCTTTGCCAACTGCTCGTGTTGAAGGCTTGCATATGGAGTCATCCTCAAGGAATGATAAAAACGTGGTGCTTGATGAGATGAACTTCTTACTTTGGAAGCAACAAGTATTGCCCACCATTCGCAGTTATTGGCTGGAACGTATACTGACGGGAGTGATGCAACCTCCGCCTGCAGAAGTCGTTGATGATAGTGGGGTTGTTGTTGTAAATGAAGCGTATAAGGACTTTTTGGCACAAGATAGTGCTTTGGCCTCTTGGCTGTTGTCTATGACTAGTGCCCATCTACTGCCTCAGTTTGTTGATGCAAAAACGGTGACGGAAGTGTGGAATACGGTGCTTTAATTTTTTACTAATCGATCCACGACAACCATCATGAATCTTCATTACAAGTTGCAGTCCGTAAAGAAAGGGGACGATAACATGCATACTTATCTTACTCGAGTTAAAGAAATATGTGATGCGTTAGCTTCTTGTGGTAGTCCAGTCCCTACTGTTGAGCATATCACCAGCATTCTAAAGGGTTTGTCGCGGGAGTATCAACCATTTATGGTGGTTATAACGACCAATAGTGATTCTCTAATGTTGGTTTCTACTATGCTTCTTGATGCAGAAACACAATTGATAGGATTTGTAGCTCAAAAAGAGACTTTGCAAGTTGCTGGTGCTCAAGTAGCTTAGGCTGGTGTTGCGAGTAATAGCTCATCGACTGGGTACAACCATAAGTCTCAGCGTCATGTTTCGCACTACAGTGGCAACAATAATGGACACAGACAAGGAAAAAATTGAGTTCAGTGCCAACTCTGTGAGAAGATTGGTCATCTGGTTGTTCGTTGTTGGCATAGGTTTGATCAGACGTTTCTTAGGATTACTGAGGATGATGGCTAGTCGCGGTTGAAAGAAGAAACTGTTAGTGTTCATTGTAGTTCTTATGATTCCTCAGGGTGTGTGTGTTGCTCTACCAATTTGCATGGATCGTCTTCGCGTGTGAGTTCGTCTCAATCTCACATGGAGTCTGCTTCTAATCGTGGTCAATGGGTGATAGATTCCAGTACGACACACCATGTCATGCCAAATGCAGAAAACTTGGATCATAGGATTGATCACAGTGGACTAGGTAAACTTACGGTAGGAGATGGTGTTCCTTTGATTGTTAATATGATTGGAAATACTTCTTTTGCTTATTCTTCTCGCATGTTGTTGCTTAAAGATTTGTTGCATGTACCTAGAATAACGAAGAATTTGATTCTGTCTATAAGTTTGCTAGGGATAATAGGGGTCTTCTTTAAGTTCCATGCTAGAGATTACTATGTTCGTGATCTGCTCTCGAGTGAGGTGCTGTTTCAAGGACAATTTCAAGATGGGTTGTATTTATTTTCTGGTGTTAGTACGCCATCTGTTTGTAATAATTCTTAATTGAATTATGAAGCTGCTACTGGCTCTAGCCTCTATGACCTGTGGCATAGGAGGTTAGGTCATGCTTCATCTTACACGATTGTGGATGTATGTAAAACGTTTGATGTAAATATATCCAAACCTTGTAATGAAATTTGTTAGGCTTGTTGTATGGGCAAGAGCCATAAGCTACCTTTTGATAAATTTGTAATTATATACAATTATCCTTTTCAACTGGTTTTTTCGAATCAGTAGGGTCCTCTACATATTGCCTCGAATGGGTTACGATAGTCTGTGTCATTTCTTGATGCTCATTCTTGACATACTTGGGTGTATTTTTTGAAGGAGAAGTCACAAGCTATTTGTGCATTTAGGTTGTTTCAACAGATGGTCCTTGATAA